CCTAATTTTGTTATTTCCAGATAATTTCCAAAGACTGGTACGCGAGGCAGAAGAGTTTAAAAAATCTTCTGACAGTTTTCGATAGCGCTCCACCTGTAACGCTATTGATTGATATAGAGCAGCTACTGAAAGTTCTCGCTCAAGTATGGTAGTCCTACACAATAGTAGGCTATAAAAAACGATGCTACACTAATTTCAGGTCCTTGCAAAAGATGCTAATGTATACGTTTGCACCACAAGTGTTCAGATTATGCAAAGAATCGCTAGAAACATGCCAGCCGAGTTTGTCAAGGCGTTGCCTGAGGTATGTGGAACTTGGAGGGTGGGGCATACTCTTACAGCTATTAGGGTCCAACACTTTTATGTAAATAATGTTAGCAAAAAGCAAAATACGCACTAATATCTCCGGTTAGCACCCGATTAGCAATGACTTGATTTGCAAGAGTAGAGCCTAATTCCCCAAATTATCCTAAACACCCCTCCTTCCTCTTCCCTTCCCCTCCCTCCATCTATCTCCACATTAACTTATAGCTCTGTGGGATCCGAAAAAGAATGAGTAGAACATATGATGTAGGTCGGTGTGTTAACTAGGCTAGATCTTAAAGTGATACTGTATGATAAAGTAAGAATGAATTTCCATACATCTGGTTAACCCTGCATAATTATGCGAGCTTTGTTAGGGCTATCTGGGACGGACTTGGGTCAAAGTTTCCGAATTTAGGTAAAGCTAGGATTTTGCCTTTCAGTAGGGTAACATGTGGTTTACTGTATGTGTTGATTATCAGTCAATCCTTATGCCGAAGATAGTGCAAGCACATCAGCAGGGGGTGTATGAAATACACATCATGGGCCATTTTCAAGGCCAACATTTGCAGTCTTTGCGACACCCACGAGAATAGCTGGGAACTACTCGAAAGAAAGAGTTTTGGGGGAAAAAATCCAACAAATTCTGTGATTCTATAACACTCACTCTAGAATGTTTCTTGGCTTTTCTTCTCTGTTACTTGTCATTTGAGAGAGATTGTGA